GGGCAACAGAAACAGGAAGTGAGGGGCAGAGAGGCTGAAGCGGGGAGTGTCTCTCCCGGACAGGCAATTCCTCCCGCTAGGTTGCTGCACTGGCCGAGACATGGCGTGCAGCCACATGCCCTTGTTCTCGGGCCCCATCTGTCTGTGGAACTCAAGGCCCTGGGGAGCAATGGCTTCACTTCACGCTCCCACCACTCTGCTTCCCTCTGCTGCCTGGACAGCCACAATTCCCTAAGCAGCCCTTCTCCAATCTGCAACTGGAATGGGGAGTGGGAGGGAAGCGACTGGAGCTCTCCTGGGAACTGTAGTCTGTGGGAGGCGCCCGAGTAGCCCGGATATTGAGCAGACAGGTTCTCGCAGCCCTCCCCACCTCCCTCCTTTTCTTCCCAGCTATAGAAATCAGCTTCCCTTAGTGACGAGGAATTATTCCCCTTGCAATCACAGCTCTGTCCACCTTTTCCCTTTGGTATGGAAACCCTGCATTTCAGCCTGAGTGACTCAGAATTTAGGGGGCAAGTTTGGGATCTGACTTCACATACCCTTGGGCTCTTAATTTTGTTTCTTCCAGCTTTACAGAGTGTTCCTCCCTGTTTTTGTACTCATCTGCTGCTTGGGAGGTTTCAAAAAAAAAAAGGGGGGGGGAATTACACACACCTTTAATAACTTTTGACATTTCCTCCCCATTTCCAAGGCTGGTTCTATGATTTCTAGGCTTTCTTCTCAATCTTTTTTTTTTTTTACTTCTAGTACACCCCTGATAAAGACACAAACTACAGGTTTCAAAGAAGAAAAAAAGCAAATTTGTTGTTGGTATGAGAGCATGAAAGGAGGTTTCTTCACGTTATCCAACATCTTGTGTAGATGGGAGGTTACGGGCAATAGAAAAGGCAGTAGATGGGGGCGTATGTCTCACTCTGTACAATATAGAAGAATCTGATATAGATACTTTGTATAAAAGACACATGTCCTCATTTGTGTCCTCTTGCTGGCTGACTGGGTTGTGGGGCACTGGGGGACAAAGAAGCTGGCTGGGGTGGTGGTCCAGAACACAGGGGAACTCCATGGTCCCCATCCTCTGGCTGTCCCCTTGTGGGGTCACTTTGGGTCCTTGGTGGGGGCATAGCAGAGCTCCAATGGCCGGGACACCTTCCAGAACTTCTCATTCACCAGCTCCAGGGTCAGCGAGCCATTCAGTGTCTACAGAGGAGATGAGAGAGAGAGGTAGGGGAAGAGAAAATAAAGTTGGAGAGGATGAAAGGAAATGAATGAAAGATGACCAAGGGAAAAAAGAAAAATAATAAAGAGATGAGGCAAAGCAGGGGCACATGAGTGACAGAGAAGGGAGGAGATACAGAGGAAGAAGAGAATAGGTCAGTTAGAAGTCATGATCATGGTTGTATGCGGCCCCAGGCCACCCTCCTGCCCCATACCACTGTCCTCAAAGGCTCACCGTGAAAGCTCCGCCCCCGGGAGCGATGTAGATGGTGTATTGCTTTTCACTGACACCCTCCAGACTGGGCAAGGCAGGCTCTTCAGGGCTGTCACCTCCTCCGGCACCCGCGCCCTCCCCACCACCCCCATCAGGTCCCCCAGCATCAGAGGCGCCCCCTCCAGGCCCTCCTGGCTCCCCTGCCTCTTGCTGCTGCCTCCGCTCCAGGGCAATGCGCAGGGCCAAATACTTGGAGAGATGGTCCACTGTGGCATTCCCAGTTGTCTTCACATATCTGGAGTGGGAAAGACGGCATGTTTAGGGCACAGGAAGCCTCAAATGGAGAAGTTGGGGATTTTCTAAAAGGGCCCATGGTTTAAAGTTTCTTCCTTAGGTTGGGTGAAGCCCCTTTCTATGGAAGTCTAGGTGATCTTTGGTTTCTCAGTGGTTTGGGGAGACACAGGGCTCTCACCTAGTCTGGCAGTATTCTCCCTTCTCCACGAGCAGTGGGTGGGGCCGGAACACAAGCTCAATCTCTCCACCTGGCTCTGGGGGACTAGGGGCCCCAGGAGGGCTTGGAGGACCCAGAGTACCCCCTCCCAGGGTCCCTCCCCGGTCACCAGAGTCTTCAGAACCAGCACCCCCGCCCACCCCACCAGTGCCTCCTCCCCCCGTCCCTACACTGCTCCCCCCTGCCCCTGCTCCACGGGGTCGCTTGGGAGCAGGGCCTGGGGCAGAGTCAGGGGCGGAGTCTGAGCTCACATCCTCTCCATCCCCTTCTCCCTCCCCTGGTTCTCCTTCCCCCCCACTCATCGTGGTGGTCTGATCTGACCCAGGCATCGGCCGCCTCACACGCTGGGCCCTGTAGAAGCAAGTAGTTGAGGTTAGAAAGCATCGAGAATAAGAATAAAAATATTTTAAACTTCAGAGATTTAAGATATCAGGGAAATCGTAATAACGACACCTAATATTTATTAAGCACTAACTGCATGCCAAGTAAACTGCTAAGTGTTTTGCACTGATTGCCTCTCCTATAATACAAGTCTTAAGAGGCAGGTAGTTATATCATCTGTATTTTATGGCTGAGAAAAACTGAAACTTAAAGAGATTAAATAATTTGTTTGAGATCATAGTCCCTCACCTCTTAAAGTGTGGTCCAAGAACCAGGAGCATAGCTTGTAGAAATGCAGAATCTCAGGCCCAACTCCAGACCTACTGAATCAGAATTTGCATTTCTAACAAGACCTTCAGGTAACTTGGATACACATTAAAGACTGAGCAGTGCTGGCCTAATTGATTTAATTTCTGGCAGTGTGAATCTGAAACTTATACTCGAAATCACTCTATTCTAACTTTGAGAAAGTTAGAATGTGAGCTATTTTCCTAAGAATAACAGTGCCAGTTGCTAACTAAGAAGATGCAATTTACATCCATGATTTCCAGGCATGACAATGAGACTGTAGTCCGCTCTTAGGGTGCTAAGGCTTAGAAGCTGGCAGGGAGCAAAGACAGCACAAGGAGTCTGACCCACAGATCTGTCCCACCAGCCCTGCTGCTGCCTCTCTCTTGACCCCCGAACCTGTGCATGGCCTGCATGCGCAGCCCTTCCTCAATGCTGGAGCTCAGTGCCTGCTGGTTGTGCAGGCGGCTGAGGCGGATGAGAACCCGGTCTTGGTGAGCCTCATATTCCTCCCGGCTAGGATAGATCTTCGAGATCAGGGCATCAAAATTAGGGTCTGGTCGCAAAGATCGCTTTGATACCAGCTTCTTGCGGCAGGTAGGGCACTCCTTGTTCCTGGGGTGGGAGAAAGGAGGCCCTGAGCAGTCAGTTGCCCAAGCAGTAGAGGCCTCAACACTGTACCCTATATCCTATTGTAAATGTGTCCCTCCTGTTACCCGCTCCGCAGGGCTGTGACAATGCAGTCGGAGCAGAATCGGTGGAGGCACTCCTTGGTGGTCATCGTATTCTTCAGCATGTCCAAGCAGATGGGGCACATGAGTTCTGAATGCAGCGACCGAGGGGAAACTGCAATCTCTGTGCCATCCATGATGGCTTCCTGGAGGAAATCAATGAGTAGAAAGGTGGTGGTGGTTTGGGGGAAAATGAATTTTAGAAACAAGTGGTCCATGAAATGGGCGTTTTGAGAAATACAGTGAGATGACAGAATCTGGGTACCCCATGTTTGCTACTTGAAGAGGATGGGAATTCTGAGAGAAGGGGGGCTACTGACTTGGACAGAATGGGTAACAAAAATAATTACTGTCCCTTAATTAAGAGCAGCTTTGCAATAGGATCTGAGGTTGGAGCGACACCTGGGGTGGGAGTGACACAGATTTGTGGTTTGGGGAAGACTTATTCAACAGAAGTGTATATAGTCTTCTTACTACCTATATTAGAATACCGTAGGGTGCCTGTTAAAACTGGATTTGGGGGTCCTATCCCACTACTGTATTAGAATGTTGGGGGAGAGGAAGGCCAGAAAGTTTCATTTTCAATAAACTTCCAAGGTGAGTCCTTTATGGGCACCTATTTATGACACTGTATTGAGGAACAAGGAAGGCAATTTCTGTGTTTACTGTCTTTCAAAAGAAAATAGTAATATTTGCTTTATATCTCTGGCTGTTTTGAGGATTAAATGAAATAAATGTGAAAGCGCTTTGAAAAGACTAAGATGATTCAAAAGCAGGGCAAAGGGAGTCTGTGAAATCGAGCAGCGTCGGTAGAATGGGGCAAAAAATGGCCAAGAGGCTGTGAGAGGGGGTGTTTGGATTGAGGGACTTGGGAAGAGGGAATAAGTTGTGAAGGAAGGATCCTGTTACCTGTGGGGTCCGGTGGAGCTCATAGAGACTCAGTTCCCACGTTTTGCTGGCATTCTGGGCATTCGCCGGCGTCGTCATGGTGACCGGGCACAGACCCCAGCCAGGGCTCCAATGCGGAGAAGTGGGCTGGGGAAAGGGGGAAGGGGGAAAGGGAGGGAACGGGTTAGGGGGGCCGCCGTCGCGCAGACCCCGCCCCTCCGGAGCCTCCCCTCCTCCGCCCCAGCGCCGGCGCGACCCCTCACCCGGCTCCCGCCGTCTGCGCTGCACCGCCGCAGCGCCGCACGCTGGGCCCGGGCTCCCGGGCCGAGTTCGCTCGATCTGCAGTCGCTGCTCAGACAGCAGCTCCCGCCGCGGCTGCCGCCATGGCCCCGGCGCTGGGGCCCTACGTCACTTCCGCCTGCCCCTTCACTCCTCTCCTCCCCCGCCAGGGGAGACGTCACCTGCCACTCGCGGCGCGGGTGGGACGCGACGTGGACGGCCAGGTTCCCCCGCCCTCCGGACGCGCCCGCTCCTCGCCAGGAGCCGGCTTCCCTGGAGTCTCGCGCCACGTGGGGACCGTGGGCTCCGCCCCCCTCCCAGCACCGTCGCGCAGCCAACGTTAGCCAGTTCCCTTCCCGTGGCCCCCACCCGGGGCCTCCGCTCCGGGGGGCGGGGCCTGGGATTGCTCGGACCCCGGGAAGGGTCGGGGATATTGCAAAAGGGCCACCTCCCCCACTCCGCGTCTCCTAGCGGCTCTGGGGAACGACTCCCCATCCCCACACAGAACTTCTCCGTAAGCCCAGCCCGGGATTCCGGAGAAAAAAGCTGCCAAGGATCCCTTGCCGCTTCAGTCCTACAGTCCTGTGAACTCAACTAAGTCCCGAAGTGACCGGGATTCCCCTTACCACCCTGGGGACTTCCTCCACCCTGCGTTTTGGCTCTCCCTAGACCCTCCGACCCGCTCTCCCCTCGAGGTTTGGGGGCGGCGGCTCGGGACGTCCAGACTCAACTCTCGGCCGGAGCCAGAGACTCGAGAATTGCGTTTGGACAATCAAGAGCCGCGGCCCGGGGCGGGGGAGGGAGGAGCACGGGAGGAACGGGGGAATGGAGACACCACGCGGAAGCAGGGACACACACACAAGATGGGGCCGCTATCGGGGAGGGGGTGTGTGTGTGTGCGCGCGCGCGCGCGTGTGTGGGGGGAGGATGGGGGTAACAAGAGGCCAAATGTCTAGTGGGAAGCAGGCAGAGGCCTCCTCCAGGACTTTCCAGTAAAGGAAGGGGATGGGGAGGAAAGAAGAAAAAGGTGCAGATGCAGAGCGATTCCCATTGAGGGCAGAGGATGAGAGGGATTGGGGGTGGGGGGGGCGGTAGATCGTGATGGGCGTCCTGTCTCATCTAGCCTGAGCTGGGGCTCCCGGACTTGGGTTGCAGCTGCCAGGGGGTGGCCTGTTTCTGGGATAAGGCAGCAGTGGATCCCCTCGCCCCCTCCCTCCAATTCCCCCCTACTTCCCTGTCTTCTCCTTCAGTCCGTGGCCAGTCCTTATGTGGGCTCCAGAGTCGATTAGCACAGACCCCCTCCCCTTTCTCCTCCTCCTACCAGCCCCCTCCTTGTTACTCTCCAGCCCCTTTCATCGGCTGGTCCATTCCCCTAATCCTGGCCCCCTCCCCTAATCCCCCCCATCCGACCCCAGGCCGGCTGCAGCTATTGTAAGGTGGAGAGAAAGGGGAGGGGGGACTCAGAGAAAGGAGAGGGGTGGGGGAGGGCCACCTGTTCCAAGACCCCCTCCCAAGGCCAGACTTGACACTGGGATGAAGCTATGAACAAATCACCCTTGGGGACCATAACGACCCAGGTTATTGGGGGGAGGTGACTGGGGCTGCAAGACTAGTGGAAGGGGATGGGGCAGAGGCCCCTCTCTCCAAAAAGACCCAGAGTGTCACGCATGCAGTGACACACACTCTCTCCTCTCACACCCGGCGGCGGAGGTTGCCCTGGGAGACAAGGCAGTGAAAGGGAACAATCCTTCGGAAAGGGAAAGGAGGGGGAGGTGGGGAAGGGTCTGAGGGCCTGGACGCAAGAACTGGAGGTGGCAGGAAAGAGGATTTGGACTTTATTAGGGTCACAAGCACCCCAGCCTCCCATATTCAGCATTCCTGAGCCAAACACTGCCACCCCTTTTGTAGCCTGGGAACTCAGAGTCCTCATCAGCAGGAGGCCAGGAAGAGTGGTGGGGGAGTGAGCAGAGTCCAGGGTCCTTGAGGCAGTTACAAGAAAAGACCTCCTAGGAGGGGCAGAAACATTTGGACAGATGTATAGGTGGAGACAAATGGGCTGGGGGGTACCTGCCCTCTTCTGTCCCTGGCCTTTGGGAACTTCTGCCCTTCCCTCAGTGGCTCCAGACTCCCTCCGTTTTCTCATATCATCTGAGTTCCACTTCTCTGCCCTCTCCCCACGATGGCCTCATACCAGTGACTTCTACTGAGGCCCCTGTGATGTATCCACTGTCATCAGATGCCAAGAATGCAACCACATCTGCCACATCTATGGGAATAATGAGGAGAGAGCAGAATGCTATTCACTCCCATAGATCCAAAGGAATCATCATCTCTGAGAAACACCCCCTCCCCCCAGAACACACATCAACCACCAATTCTGGTGAGACTCTCTCAGATACCACAAACTTTGGGATCTGTTCATTCAGGGCCCTCTTCCCCACACAATGCTCACCCTCAGGGTCCCCGAAACGTCCCATCGGAATTGCTCTAAACACCTGTAAGGAAATACTCATATATAGCTTAAAGTTCCTTTTATGGATTTTTTTTT